TATATATATATATATATATATGTACAAATAGGTTTTAAATATGATTTAATAAAGGAAATAATTTATCTGACCATATGTGTGTGCTGGTACGAGTATCAAGAAAAAGCTGCGTCCACTATTTACGTAGTACACAAGTTTGTGTAACAATTACATGCATACAGCATTAAATGCAGCCTATTGGCAATGTGTAAAAAATCAGTAGCACTGACTACAGATTCTGGCTAAATCTTGGTTGCTGAATGGCTACCTGCATCCTAGCAAGGTGCCTATCAACAGTGTGTAATCTGTGGTGCAGGTGCCATCAAATACACATTGTTGATATTTACATGTTGGCCAGTTGCAGCCAATAGGGCCCATGTATGCCATACTGCTACTACAGACAGCTAAAAAAGCAGGAGCTTGCTGCCAGCTAGGTGCTGTATTTCACATTGTGAAATAGTAAATGCTTGCCTGAATAAGGCCTAAAGTATATCTAAAGTCATTTTTTTTAGTGTGGATATAAATGGGGAATTTTAACATCCCTGTCAGTTTTTTTCTGCAATCTGTGTCCCCTCGGGGAGATTTTTTTTCATTTCTTTTCTGGGCAACACAACAGAAAAAAAATTCTTGCCAAAGTAAGGGGACATTCCCTCTTGGCTGACACTGGAACAGCTGATCCCATTGGGTTCCCATTACTTTCTGTCCCAGTGACAATGGTCACCAGGACAAAGAGGAAGACAGCAATAAAAACCTAACAAATGAACTTACACACTCTATACAAAATGTGGCTTTAGATCTACTTTAAAATAATGTAATTATAAAAGGTCAACTATGTTCCTGGGCATGAAATCTGTATTAAAGTGACCCTTTCAGGAGGTCAACAAAATAAATAAAAGGCACTAAGCTGTGAAGAAAGGGATATAATACAAACCGGTTTGTCCTCCTGTTTGCAAAGACTTCACGCTTTGGCAGAGCCCTTGGCACGATGATCCTATTCCACACTTCTGGTTATGTAGAAGAGCATGTCCTCCACCAGCCACTGTGGTTCCTCCTGGAAACCCCTACATCACTAATGTGCCTTGCAGTGACAAAGGGACAGCAGGAGGAACCACAGTGACCAGTGGAAGGGTCCCTCCATTCAACCATCTGGAGGAATTGAATTACATTGGTGTCGAGGTGATCTGATGCAGTTTTAGCAAACGGGCTGCCAGGCAGGAATGTATAATACTTTTTTCTTTCCCGGTTATTAATTATATATCTATATACATAATATATACATAATACAAATATATAATACACTGACAAGTACACCGGATGGCAAAACAAAATATAAATAGAAGTTTAAATAGTAAAAGGGAAGTTATTCTGTATTACGGATTTCCTGATAGAGATATCAAGCTTAATAGGATTGGTTTCAATTTTACTCATGTTCTCATGTTTATCATTTTTGGACTAAACTTATCAGACTGTATAAACCTAATACAAGTACTCAGAAAATGATCAGGTTTATTTACAAAAGGGTGAAGGGTTTGGAGAAGGCAGGATAAGTGAAAAATCTAGGCCAAAATAGCTGATTTGGAAACATTCTCCAATTCAGCTCACTTTCCAGTTCAGCTATGTTGTCCTAGATTGTTCACTTCTCCTGCCTTCTCCAAACCCTTCACCTTTTAGTGAATAGACCTGTTCATGTTTTCACATTTTGTATATATCATGCTGGACATAAATTTATTTTGTTCCACTTTTTCAGGTTTCTTCACATAGCTGAAGATTTCTTTTATTTTTGGCTAATGAGTCTCAGACCTAAAGTGTCTTGTATGATTTGGGAGGGGAACCAGATGCTGTTTTTTGTTTTTTTAATTCAATTTTTTTTAAACAATTCAACTTTGAAGGACCGCTCTCCCCGCTCTGTGTGTTCAGCTTTGCCGAGCCAAAGCATGTGCTTTCAGCTGGGCTGTGTGTGTCGGCTGCTATAAGCAATATTGAGAATAGCGCGTACAGCAGCCCTTCGGTTCGGCTGAACCAAAGGGTTGCTGCAGCCGAAGCCAACCGAAGGATCTTTCGTGAGCAATCCCCTAATTCTACCCTTGATACACTTGCCAGTGTTTGTCTCAGCTTGCTGGGAATGCAGACAATCAGCTGCAAAAGGAGCTGTAAAGAGGACAGGCTCAACTGATAATGGTAGTAGTAAACCATTCATGAGACACACAGGAACAGTCCAAGCAGGTTTGCCCTTAACTTCTATTCAGCAAAGCAACAAACAAACACAGTTTCAATGCAGGAGGGCTTTGTACCGCAAGTACATTGCATGAAATACACAAAACATTTGCTCATCAGAGCCACTAACTAAACTCAGATCAGCTGCTAACAAAGTGCCCCTAAGGGCTTGTTCACACCAAGCGCGGAGCAGATCCAGAGCAGAGCAGGTGCAGACCGGATCAAAACTGCGTCCAATGTATTCCTGTGGTATTTTGAGCTCCAGTTCACATCGCAGCGTGCAGATCCAGAGCAGGTGAAAAAACTGCGGCAAGCCCTATTTTAGCTGCTCTGGATCTGCTCTGGAACGCATCAAAAACGCATACAAACGCAAAAACGCGTCAAAAACGCATGCAAGTGCCTGAAAGCCCATGTTAAACTTTAAAAAAAATATATATATTTTTTTTGTTTTTTAACCAAAAACGGCCCGGAACGCATGAAAAACGCCGCAAAAACGCATCAGAAATGCGGCACAACCCACTGCACTGCATGTGCAGAAATCTGACCGGATCTGCTCTGCATTTGGTGTGAACAAGGCCTAATGGGTTCCCCAAAATAAGCAGGCACCACTTGTACCTATTTTTAGTGTTCTGCCAACACTCAGCCTTTTCACCCAGCAGGCTTCAACAGCACAGAAAGAGACAACGTGGAGCATAAAGCTGGCCATACACCTTACAATCATCGCACGACTTTCGTTGTGTGATGGTTGTAGGCTAATTAAAATTTCATACGATCTGCCCATCTCGGACAGGCAGATCGTACTTGCGATCATCGGAAGGGGAGGGCTTCCGATGATTGCAGTGCGGAGCGGGCAGTGTGCGCTTGCGCACACTGGCCCATGCGGCATTCGTCTCCCGACCACGCTACCAACCCGCCAAAAATCGTACGATTTTTGGGGGGTTTTCCAGCGTGCTAGGAAGACTAAAGTCATGCGACCTTACAGTAGAAGCGGTCGCACGCTGCCCATACACCTGCCGATTATGGTACGATCGCGGGATCACCCACCACTATCGTACGATAATCGGCAGGTGTATGGGCACCTTTAGTCAGTTCACATATATAAAGGCCTGTGTACAGCTGAAACTAATAACGAGGTCTGGCTACCAGATAGATAAAATGTGGACCTAGGACTGGAGGCTTTGCTTCACCCAAAGCTCTACAAAACCTCCAGGCTCCAGAACAGGGCTTATTAAGATTCTGAGAAAGTAAGAAGTTTGTTTTCTCCACATCAGAAAAACACTCTGGAGCCCCTCACCACGTGTATCTGAGAAACCTAAGTGATACATACGCACCATCCACAATCCTGTCAGCCAGTGCCTTACAAGGGATGAGATATTTGTTATGTTAGCTGCTTTGCAAATAAAAGGCAGTCAGGAGACCAGAGAGGAGATAACTGGAAGTAAAAGACATCTGTATCTGGGTGTAACAATTACAATTAACCATGTCTGCTCTGGTTATTACCTTGCTGTTAACTGTATGTTGGTCTGTTGTTTTGGAAGTGTATTCAATAGGAAATACTTCTAAAGCCGGCCATACACCTTACAACTAACCGCACAACTTTCGTTGTGCAATGGTTGTAAGGTAATTCAAATTTAGTACGACCGGCCCATCTTGGACAGGCAGATCGTACTTGCGATCATCGCAAGCCCTCCCCGCTGAGGGGAGGGCTTGCCGATGATTGCAATGCTGAGCGGGCAGTGTGCGCTTGCGCACAGAGGCCCGTGTTGCTTTCGTCTTCCCGAGCACGCTACCAACCCGCCGAAAATCGTACGATTTACGGCAAGTTTTCCAGCGTGCTAGGAAGACGAAAGTCGTGCGACCGTACAGTAGATGCGGTCGCATGCTGCCCATACAACTGCCGATTATGGTACAATCGCGGGATCACCCGCGATTATCGTATAATAATCGGCAGGTGTATGGGCATCTTAAGGGCAGCTAAAATTGCACTTTAATTTATAAAATAGTTTTAACCTGGGCCCTAAATATTGACCAGCAACATTTCTGCATCTTCAGTGTGTTTGTACTGTGCATTGTGTACTCCGGGTAAACAGCTGAATACACAGATGAAATACATAAATGGAATCTGCTGTACCTGCCACAGGATTGGTATTTCTGTCCATCCAGTTCTGAGATTTACACTGCTCCCACAACCCTGTTTGGTAGGGGAAAATACCTAATTTTTCTCTGCTGTTAATAGGTAACACTTACAGATTTTGTCCCTCCCCAGCCTCTGACTGGGCAGTGAAAGGAGAAGACCCACACTGATTAGCTAATTTTTCTGGTATTCTGCTCTCTCCTTCTACCAGAAAGCTCCATACACAACTGCAAAACAGATTGGCTCCTTGTCCTGCTTCTCCCTCCCTCTGTCTGAGCTCTGCTGTGCAGGAACTGTGCAGGAACAGGAACTGCAGGAGGCTGATATCAAGTCAAATACAGGTACTTACACTACTTGCACGTTAAAACACAAGAATGAGGAATTAATTAAATAGAGGTCTGCAGTGTCTTATATTTGGAATGTGTTCAGCTTGAAAGGAAACCTGTTCTAATAAAATCAGGAGGCTAACCCCTCCTTTGAAAAATGCCAGTTGCCTGGCAGTTTTCATTAATTTCAGAGTCACTGACCTATGCATATTAGCGGCTTATTCACAAAAGGGTGAAGAGTTTGGAGAAGGCAGGAGAAGTGAACAATCTAGGACAACATAGCTGAACTGGTAATAGAGCTGAATTGGAGAATTTTTCCAAACCAGCTATGGTGTCCTATATTGTTCACTTCTCCTGCCTCCTCCAAACTCTTCACCCTTTTGTGGATAACCCAGTTGGAGTTCTGAGGTCACTCTGACATTGCTTGGTGCATGCTCATTTTAGGCAGTGACCAATGCCAATAAGATGGTCATACTTCTGTGGCTCCACAAAGGAAAGACATATCCAAAGTATACATTTAAGCTCATTACCTGTTGATGTGTAGCATTCTCTATCTTGTCCTCCACTGCTGGGGTGGTATGGTTTACTGGTGCTTTCCCTTTGTCTAGAATTAACTTCCTCAGCTCCACATTTTCATATCTTCAAGGACGTTAACCAATGAAAACATTTATATAGTTAATAAAAAAAATAATGTCCAACAACGTTAAGCAAAAGGCAAAAATAAATATAAGACAGAAAAAGAATCGCATTAAAGCAATTGCATCCTTAGCACCCTAAACCCTCAGATGATCCAGAGAATAAAACCTTTATGACGTGCCATCCAATTAACTATTACAAGAAAAAAAAACCTGAATCAACAATCTGCACAGTTATCTATTATATTATGGTGTGAACTGTGACAGGCTATTGCCTTGTCAGTGTGTTGAGGCTGCACTGGAAAAGACGGGCAACACCCCCCCAATGCAACTGGTGTGAAACGGCCCTTAACCGCTTGCTGACCAGGTGTTTACACCCCCTTCCTGTCCAGGCCATTTTTCCATATTCAACGCTGCGGTACTTTGACTGACGTTTATTCCGTCATGCAACGCTGTACTGAAACAAATTTTATACCATTTTTTGAGGACAGATAGAGCTTTCTTTTGGTGGTATTTAATCACCGCTGGGGGTTTTATTTTTTTACTATATTAAGGAAAAATTACGATTTTTTTTTTAACATTATGATATAATACAATTATTATTACCCAATTTTTTTTTTTTATATATAAAAGACGGGGTCACGTCGGGTAAATAGACACCAAACATGTCAAGCTTTAAAATTGCGCGCACTTGCGAAATCGCAAAAAACTACCATACCCAAAATTGACCATAGGCGACACTTTAAAAGCTTTTACCGCTCATCAGTTTAGTGTTATCAGTGATTGCTGGTCCCAGAATTATTGCTCTCATTGCGATATGTAACATGTGCGGCGTAATGGGCGCAATCGTTGTTTTCGCACGCATGTTTGCATGTATGTATGGGTGGAGACTTTAAAAAAAAAAAATTTAATTCCTTTAATGTGTAACTTAAAAAAAAAATTGGGGAACCTTAATTTTTTTAACTATTTTTTTTTCCACTTAACTTTATTGCTATCATATAGGGGGCTAAGAAGCCCTCTTAAGTGATAGCAAAGAGGATGTAACAGGTCCTCTTTATGGAGACATCAGGGGTCTCCAAGACCCCTAATGTCACCTAGGACCCCCAAAGAAGCTTCTCTCCAGAAGCTGGAGAGTGACACAAGAATGCAGAAGTGATGTAATATACATTACTTCCACATTCTGACAGCGGAGAGGGGACCGGAGGGAGATCGTGTACCGATCTCCCTCTGATCCCCGGTTACAGAGGCACTATGCTGGTCCCGGGCTCACACCGGGCACAGCGGAGCCCGGGACCAGCGTCACGGGGGGCCGCGGACGGGGGGAGACGGACACACGGACCTGCAGCTTATACAAGCGATCCGCCGGCTATAGAGCTGGCGGATCGCTTGTATGTTAACAGGCATCGTTGCCTGTTTTTCAATCTCGGTCGTTTCCCGCACGCATGAGTGGGCAGGGCTAATGGGCCGTATATACATGGCCTGTTATATCCAGGAAGGAGGTTAAAGAAGAATACATTTAGTTCATTTATTTATCCCTATAGTTGAGACCCTCCATGGCCCTTAATAATTTAGTTGTACTTCCCTACACTCTCTCCAGTTTCACAACATCCTTTTTTTAAACTGGTGCTCAAAACTGAACTGCATGTTACTAATGCTTTGTGCAGGGGCAAGATGATGTCTCTCTTTCTGGCATCTACTGTATACCTCTTCTGATGCAAGAAATTATCATGCTCATTTTAAAATCTGGAAATTAGCATACAACGCCAATATTAAGTTATGTTATGTCCCTAAAGCTGGCCATGCCTGGGTCTGAAAGAAAACATAGAGCAGATCCCTCCATCAACGCTTACGACATTGACCGAGGAGTCTCCTGCTGTTTCCTGTGTACACTAACAGTGTCTGGCGTCTGTCAGAACACCAGAACTGGTCTGTTTGAATTTCCAACCGGCTCCTTCGATCAGCTGATCAAGGGATACTGGCTCAAAGGGTGACAACAGAGGCACCCAGCGTGTGAACTTCAGGCGGTTCCTCAGGCCTGGTTCACGCCTGAGCGTTTTTCCATGCGGTTCTAGTCGCATGATAACACGCAAAACACACATTTCCATGCAAATTAATAGTGACTGTTCACACCTTAGCACTGCGCGTAGGAAAACGACTATCACGCGAAAAGATGTACGAGCTATTTTCAGACGCATGTCATGGGTTTTTGGTCCCATAGACATCTCTATGCAGGGAGAAACGGGTTTCTAAAAGCAAAAACGTGCAGAAGAAAATTGTGCGATAAACGCACAAAACTGAAAACGCCTTGGTGTGAACCAGACCTCAAGGACCAGACGGAATTCGCACAGTGTATGGCCACCTTTAAGCTGCCCACACACCTTACAATTTATTGCAGATTTTCTGTGGTCAGATGGAAAGGGTGCAACAGATTGGCCCAGGTGGAGATTACTCCATCCACACAGTTAAATGTAGATGGAGGAATCTGTACACCTTTTCCATCTGACCACAGAAAATCTGCAGATAAATTGTAAGGTATGTGGGCAGCTTTAGGCTGGTCATAGATAGAGTTCAGTCTGACACCTGTTGAAGCAAACTATATCCTCCCAAGCTACATTTCCCTCTTGGTTGAACAGCAGGATGTTTTAGAAAAAATCTCCATACCAACCGATACAATCTTCTTCTGATAGAAGAAGGCAGGAGAGGTCCACTGTCGGAGCAACTATCCTATCTACGATCTGAATGTTCTCTAGTATTTGAGGTATCTATATACTAGGGATGCACTCATACCGTTTTTTTGGTATAGAGTACGAGTACCGATATTTATTTTTCGGTACTTGCTGATACTGAGTACCGATACCGGTACTTCCGCTAGCATAGAGTCGGTCATGGGCAATCAAGGCGACTCATTACCCACCGCCCGGCTTCCTAATTGGCTGGGAAGCCAGCTCCATGTTCCCTCGCGACACTGCCGGTCAGAGGAAATCTCCCTCTGGCTGGAAGTTTCGATATCAGGGGTAAGTATATACTTAATAAATTGTTGGTGAAAGAGTCTCACAGCTTTCCACAGATTTTCTACTATCGGCATATCAGTATTTCGTGTCTGAAGCATGCAGAGCCCATTTATAAAGGTAGAGATGCAGGGGAAGAGAAATGTAATGTATTTTTGTATGACTCAGGCCTGCCATCAGTAACATGCAGAAGAGATAGCGTAGCCACACAAAAAATGCTGGATGTATTAATTCTTTTGTGCTTATAAGAATTGTTTAGCTCCCATGAAACAGTGCTTTCACACAGAGAAGGTTATAGTTCCTTTGGAATTGTAGTCAGGATTGGTTAAGAGAATAATTAACATATAAACAGAGTTGTCTGGAGATCGCCTTGACCTGTAAAGATAGCCAGCATATATATGAAGCATGGAAATCAGCTGGATGGCATGGCTACACATAGTGTCTCCTACCTCAAAGCTTGCTCAACCTGGCTCCTCTTGTTCCAATCAGCTTCCAGCTTGTGCCTCAAGTCTTCATTCTCTTTCCTCAGCTGTTCACACAATGTCTATAAGATACACTTAGTTACAAACTTGAAGTGACACAACCAGATTCCTGCGGTCATATATATTACCCAGAAAAGCTTCTTCTGTGACCCTCTCAGCTTAGGTTTCACTGTTACTGGAAGCTGACTTCTTCTGAGCTTAGCCATATAGTCAGGGCGAGTCAGGCCCCATAACAAAGTGAAACTAAGGCCTTGTTCACACCAAGCGCGTTCCAGGAGCAGAGCAGTTGCAGACCGAAGCAAAACTGCGTCCAATGTATTCCAATGGTATTTTTAGCTCCAGTTCACATTGCAGCGTTCCGTTCCAGAGCAGGTAAAAAAAACTGCAGCAGGCCCTATTTTACCTGCTCTGGAACGCATGCAAACGCATCAAAAACTCATGCAAACACCCTGGAACGCACTGAAAGCCCATTTTAAAACCAAAAACGGCCCAGAACGCATCAAAAACGCGGCACAACCCACTGCACTGCGTGTGCAGAAACTTATGCAGATCTGCATTTGGTGTGAACAAGGCCTAACAGGGTTATTCACACAAGGGTGAAGAGTTTGGAGAAGGCAGGAGAAGTGAACAATCTTGGACAACATAGCTGATTTGGAAAAATTTCCAGTTCAGCTTCTCCAAACTCTTCACCCTTCTGTGAATAACCCTGTTAGTCAGAGAAGGACACAAAGGTGGCTTTTGTATTAAAAGGTAATAGCTGGCAACTTAAGAAGTTTTCTCTTAGGCAGGACTTTTTTTTTTAAATGTTAATTGAGGCAGCAATGTATATGACATACAGTATACATTCTATAGGAATAAAAAGAGAACATTAATCGTTTTAAAACAATAAACATGTTGACTTAGGGCTTGTTCACACCATGTCCGGACTAGATCAGGACCAGAACAGTTTTTGTCCGCACCTGAAATGCATCCTAATGTACTCCTATGGTATTTCTGGGCTCTGTTCACACCAGTGCAGTGCGTTCTGGTGCGGGGGGGGGGGGGGCTGCACAGAC